CATAATATATGGAAATCCTGGTTTATCACTAGGATAAGAAGAAAGTTCCTTAAAATATCATTCTACGTACATAGTAAATAAGTCAATATTTATTATTAGACTAGCGTTGCTGCTAGCCCTTAGCTACCTTGCCAACGTTTCATGATTGTCGACCATCTATAGTAACTAATGTTTTTCATCGAAGCCCTGAGGTTCAATATCTCTAATTTTAAGCACACTCAGTGCTTTCTTAGTGCAGTCGGATACATATAAAGGAAAGTTTAATAATTACAGTTTATTATAGCAGCACTTTCTATACTCGAATGTTGTCAAAAAAAACGTTATACAACCAGCGAATATATATCTTGAACGATTTTGGACGTGTAAGGTTTTCACACTCCAATTTATATTAGCATATCTCTTAAAGGACCAATTAGGTAGAAACCAAATTATTAATTTAATCTGGTTTTTATTAGGTATTTGTGTCAAGTAAATTCCGTTTATAAAAAAGCTTATAAAAATAATACGTAGGTATTAAATGTAGCTTAATAATTGATCTTATATCAACCACATTCTTTACGTGTTGGTATTTGTTTCGATATTCTTTTGAGGCTATTGCGTTGCGTATCTGTTTCCGAGGAAGAGATGTCTGATATCAAATGCGCAAGGAAATCAGCAATTTGTATTTTCATAGGACCGCAGTAGTAAGCATCAAAAGATATGAATCAAAGTAATGAAAATGTTTTTTGATCAACTACTGATTCCTTGAACAGAAAAAAACATGTTGTCTATAAAAAAATCATTTAAAACTTCCTCCGACATTAGTGGCTCCGATTTCCGTGATAGTTCTACTTCTTCCTCTTATACTTGTGAAGTAAACAAATATTCCTCGTATATGCATATCAAAGTTCCAGTTTTCCAGGAAATAAATACGTTGCGTAACAAAGGTGGACTTGTAGCAACTATTCCATAATTAAATTAGTTCCGGAAACGCCTTGCTTACTTCGAAAGTATGATTTGTGATAAGAAAAATTATCATTTGCGTATTCGGATACTGAACTTACTTATAAGAATAATGTTTATCTTCTTGTATATTCTTTAATATTCATTGAAGCTTATGGGATGTTTCATCAGTTATCCTAGGAACGCGAGGAAGCACATAGTTCTCGTAACTAGTAATACAAAAGTACTTACTTGGTGGCATGATGAAGAATCTCAATGAGCAGTTATTTGTACTGTTGCCTGTAAGATAGTTTGTGACCAAAGACATTTAATGTCTAGTAGGTTCAAAGTAATAGTTTTTTTGTCGAATCTTGGCGAAGGAGTTTCTCAGACTGTCTATCTTCTTCGAGCACTGAACTTTACTGTAGTCGTGAGGTCTTGATTTCATCTCGTAGTACCTCATTAGATATCTAGGATGTGCTAGGATGACTCACTGTTTCAAAAAAATTTGCTTAGCTAAGACTGGCATGTTTTTTGAGATATACAGCAATTAATTTTTTCAGTAAAAATCTCGTCTAGTTAAATTGTTGTCATTTCGGCAAGTATCAGATTACTGAGCCGAGTTTGTTCCAAAATATCCATAATTATCTAATTCCTCAAAAGAAACGTTGCTTTATTCTTATATTTTAGCGAAATTTACAAGACAGTTATTCAAATGCAATATTTCAACGTAGAGTAATTCATACGTTTAGCTTGGCTACCTTGTGGTAACATAAAATGGGCTAGAACCATTGTGCCAAATACTTCATATGGGTGGTTATATAATGTCATAAGTTGGCGAAGATTTGTATGTATCGACAAAAATCTGTGAAATGACGAATCTACGTGCAGAAATATGGCTACTTACGTACCCACTCAGTTCGTCAAATCAAACCAGATGGGCCTCTCAGTAGGTCTGGCATTTATTAAAAGGTGCAGGGCGTGCATAAGGGCCAATGGTGGCCAATTTGAATACCTAGTCTAGAGAATTCAATAAAAGCCTACCATTACTTTACTCCTTATTCGTATCATCTAAGATTTTTTTAATATTCAAAAACAAGACGATATCCCATTCTAATTGCTGAAAAAAGAAAATAGCGAACAAAATGTTAGAACACTGTATCATTGTGAAAATTATATCAAATATACAACTTTTTGATATTTTTGGCACAGTTTTCCTATTTAATTTTTCATCACAACAGAATGCCCAGGTAAGACGTACAAACTGATTTTGATTCGAACGTTGCATTAGAATAGTTTTAATGAGGGTTTCGCTGCAACATCTGAAAGAATTAGTTGCGGATATCCTGAAATATGTCAGTTCCAAAACATTTATATTGTTGAAACAATTCAGCTATACGAGTGTGGATTTTACTAAAAACGATTTGACTGCATGTCTTGAAAACTATGAGACTTTTGACTAAGCAAAATTTTGCCAAGCAGTAGGTGCGACCTATTTCCAATTCTAGAATTCAATTTCCAGACTCGCTGTTTATTTTTTCCCCGGTTCCATTATCTTCAAAATATCAATATATTTCTCAAAGGTAGTGCTTTTTATAATTCACTGAGCGTAAGCAATGCTGAGAGAATCTACGCCATTGTTCTGCAAACTGGATATTCTCCACTGACTAGGTTTCTCTTTTATAAAAACTGATCTGATGCACGTATAAAGTATTATATTCACAACACAATATGCTGCTAAGGTGCCAATTCAATGAACAAATGTGATGGAAAAGTAGGTGTGTCTCTCTGTAATTCGAACCGACAATGGACAATGAGAACAATACGCTTAAATGAGAAATGATCTCAGTAATCACAGTATTGATTGAAATCGATACCATTATTTATACACCTACTGAAAAATATACGTTCATAATCAGTCACTCACCTTTTTTCGGTTCTTTGCGCTATGAAAGTAGTGCGGGGTTTCTCGAAATGCAGTCGAAAACAAGTGTACAAAAATTCCATCCAACAATTCAGTTACCCAAGGCATCTTCCAAGGAAGAGTACTTTGTATGAAAAAGGATCTTTGAAGACGGCTTGTTATTAATTAAGATTTTTGAAAAATCTTCTCCTATCACACTTTACACCAGTCACTTTTCGGTTTCTTGTCATTAACTGAAGTTTTTCTAGGCTTAGGCCGATGGACAACGACATAAATAGTGTCCACCATAAATGATATGAGGGCAAAGATCCAAAGACCCTCCTTAGCAATTAGCGTCTAAAAGTATCGTAACACAGTTCCATGCCCTGACATTTAATACTATCGGCAATTGCTTTCTACGGTAAGCAAGCAACAAAAGAGAAATTTCACGTTAGATCGTGCGATGTCAACCAGCTTTCCTCTAAAGGTCGAATCGAAAACATTTACCTTTCGTGGAATTAACAGCGTTTGGTAATTTGAATTTAGTGATTCTGATTTGATACCATTCGTATTTTGCAACAGGTCTTAGACTAAAATTTGATTTCCGTTTGGCTAATGACTCAGAAGGATGTCTTGGATTACATTAGTGGGATTTTGGATGGAAGATCATGTTTAAAATCAGTCTCCCGAAATGTTTTCACACAAAACTACACGAGCAGCTGCATGCACCTTGTTACGTAAATGCATTCCTTTTGTACCGGAGAAACAGAAAAGGTGGAGTTATCGAAGTACCGCGACTGTAACAAAGTGGTCAAAGACATATTGGGTCAATTTTTGACCTGTCAGATTGATCCACAGTCTCTGCAGCTTGAGAAAGCAGTTTAAACGATAACCTTCGCCTTTTTTGACATTTCATGAGGTAACTGTCAAATGAGGTAGACATCAACTTGTACGTATGCGATATTTATTATTGATAAAAGTTTATTGTCATAGTTTTCTGGGTGTTAATTTAAACAAATATAAAAAGCTACGATGGAGAACCCGCAGAGCTGTTATGTAAAATACCTAAAAAATGTTCAACAACTTGTGCTAAGCTAACATAAAAACTTACGATATGTCACAAGAAACGTGCGAAATGTCAAAAAAAAACGACGAAATGTCACTATTCAAGATACGTAATAAACGTGCCGAGTTTCATTTAATCTTTGTTAATTAAAAAGTTTGCTGAAACATACTTTGTGGTGTACGAAAAACCGACTGGGGACTACGGAATTGCTAGAATTTTATTTTTTAATGGTTATGTTCGTGTTTTGATGAAAGTAGTCAGGTACTAAAAGGTAAAATATAAAATTTAATGGCCTTATTGTGTGGTAGATGCGAATGCCTTTAATGCAATAATACATATACGAATATTTTTGATGTTCATACTGAAAATCAGGACCAACTTCCAACTCCGCAGCCTCACATAACTTCGCTCCGCGACCCAAAGATGAGGAAGTTCTAGAATAAAAAAAAACAGCGGGTATGCGTGGAAATGTAAGCAAAGTTACATATTTTCTTTCTGGATATTTACGGTACAGCTTAACACTTAAACTTGGCACATGAATGCCAAAAATGCAATACATTTATATAAAGGTAACAAACCTTCTTTCCTAAATCTGTTATTGTTTATTTTAAAAACATTTATATACATATATGTTTTAAATAGCCCAGTTTTTTTAATATACTCAGTTTTCATAAAAAAAGTTTTTTGTTCTATTTGATATGCACATGCCTCTTGAACAGACACTTTCAGTCCGTCATGTTGGTGTCCGTCCAAAGGAGATTTCACTGTTGATTGTCGCAGCTCTGTACACAGTTTGTCGGACCTCTATTCACTTGTAATGGCAATTTCAATAACGGAACAAAAAATTTGGTGCTAAAGCAGCATTTTAGATATTTTGGGGTAGCAAGTCCGTCAGTACCTCAATCATTTTTCAAGGCCTCACAAAGAATATTTCAATAAATTTTTCTTGATTCTCCTAGTATAAGGAATTCGATTTAACCCAGGTTAAACCGCTACGGAGTCTCTTATAAATGGATAAACTAGTAAAACAGAATACGGCATACAGTCGAACCCAATCCAGGCAAAATCACAGAGTAGCGTTGAAGTGAGAACACAGATATAAAAACTTAATCCTGTATTAGTTTTCCATCACATTCAAGTATATAAGAATGGCACAAGATCGACTACTTCCTCGGTGCTCCCCTCCTGGTTGACCCTCTGCCTTCCATAGAGTGGTTTCGCAGCTGCAAGTGTCATCCGCATACTCGAGATGCTGAACAGTGTAGCTGCCGCGCAAATACAGACGAATCCCTTTTGCAACGTTTCCACAGAGAGGAGTTTCGTTAGTGGTTGATACTTCTGCATATCCTCTGTTTCACTTGATGTTTAACTGAAATTTTTCTTCTCTTGACGTAAAACTTCAGTTTGTTATGCTGGCTGACAGATAGGTGTCACAGAATCCTCATACAGTGTGATTTTTTAAAAGGAGACCTTAAACGGGTAATAGGGAATCTATTTTTATTTTCTTCTTCTTCTATTTATACCATAATACGTATAGTAAATTTCATTCATGGTAATCTCTATGTTTTTTATATTAAATATTTAAAAGTGCAACGCCGATGGCGTTGATTTAAATGCTGCAATTCTTGCGCTCTTTGCAGCGACATCACAGCTCATGTTTTGTCACATTACTGTGTTTGCTGTCAAGTTTTGAAAGGTCCTATTTTTCGTGCACTTTGCAATGGAATCACAACAGCTCATGGTTTGCCTTTTTGTTCTATTTTTGTTTTGTTAGTTTTCTGTTTCAGTGCCTTTCTCAACTTTACCACTTAGCCAGCATGATCCAAATATTAAGAACAACTCCAATTGACAAAGATAAAGATACGTCTGCTAACAGTGCTGTACTGGTTGCCTGTTTTTTGCATACCAAAGTTATACTAATAAAAAGACAAGAAAACCAAATGATAGAGTCACATGTATTTGCTACTGTATCCATTATATAACTGTAGTCACCGTTCTTGGCGGTTACGTCATCAACGCCTTATGAAATAAGTACACATATCGAGTCTCCGTACTATGAGCAAAAAACTGCGCAGACATATCTTCAGCGCATCTGCTACTCTCTCCGCATGACGTGAGTAACAGAGGACCGCTGTTTTCAATCTCTTCCTGGAAATAATAAATCTAGCACGAGCTGTCGGCCTTCTCCATTGATCGTATTTCCAGGCATTGTACAATTTTATATTGAATATTGATAACAGGACAACTCAAATTACACGACGATGTCAAGTAAGTTGTCACTCTGACAAATACGATTGAAGGGCGCTCATACGTTCACACACAGGGGTAGGTTCCATGTGTATGTATGAGGAAGATGGAGGTGTACAAAGAGATACTGGTAGTGTTACTTTGACCCGTCAAGAACGGTGACTACAAATGATGGATACGTTTGGTACTTGCTTTGGGGGTCCTAATCAGTTCAAAGACCCGCGAAAATCAAAACCTTCGACCTAGTCACAAATTCGACCAATAAAAAAAAGTACATGCGGCCTTCCAAAAATATGGATCAAACTTGATATTATAACTAGATTGATAGGACAATTACTGAGCATTCTATTGAAAATAATTTCATTCTTACCTGACAGATAATTTTTTATACGCTTATATCGGGTCAGTCAAACTAGATCATTAATGTCTGTCCTTGCAGTGAATAATTCTTCTAGATAAATTCTTTTGAATACATAAACAAAATAACTGAATGCTGATTATTTAACAAACGTCTAGTTAATATTCAGTTTACTTGATTACTGTGCGAGCAATCCTGTTTCTTTCCGACTACTTTGATGCTCAATACGTGTTAAAATCTTGTTTTTCTAGCTCACTCTATGTTTCTTTAATAACAACCATTCTGTAATTTCACTTCATGTATACAGAAAAAAGCAGGTCTTTGTAGCTAACCTCAATTGGCCAAACGATATTGGCGCGTTCTGATTGGTCGAAACTTTGCGCCCCGGATCAGTCAAATCGGGCTTAAAATGTATTCGGACTATTCGGTAAAGTCACGCTTAATAGCTAGACTCCCTTGTTGTTTTTTATAAGTAGTAGCTTATAGTATCATTATCACGTGAGCTTTTTAGAAGTAAAGAAAATCATTTTTATATCCGCAGTTTCGAATTTACCAACGACTTTATAGACAGAGGTCAGTAAGTCAGATCACAAGAATGTCAAACTGGCAGGTTGTCATCTTAGGTTTGAAATCCAAGCGTAGAAATTCTTCAACTTAGCTCAACTGACTGTTTGAGTTCCACTCAAGTTATAGATACGTCTGGCGCGACAAAGGTATAGTTGTTAAGGTGCGGCTTAGCTTCAAGTTGACCTTAGCAATTAGGAACAACCGATAGGGTTGTAGCAATTTATTGACTAGATAGCTGGTAGTGCACAGATGTTTCATTCCGCGCCTGCTTCAAGTGGGCATCAAGTGAACGACATCTAGTTCCTAGTTGAAATCTTAAAGGAATACCTATTTAGTGTCATAAAAACCTACATAATATCAAAAAATCCGACATAATGCAACCTTTCAAGTTAAGTAATACCCCTACGGGCCTGCTACTGAAAGTGAGTTTTGTGTGCGTAATTCGTTAGTTTTACATGCCCGTTAGAAGGTAATGCATGATGTATAACGCGGTCAATAATCCACGGACTTCAAACGCAAAAGCTTCAGAATCACAAAATTTAAGACTGGCAACTAACGCAAAGTACCAAAGAAAAAACGTTTATAGATCAGCTTTAGTCAAGTAATATTATAAATAAAATCAATTTTGTATACTTTGAACATAATTGTAGAGCAGCTTGTTCAGAAAGAAGGAATCACCTATAGAGGCTTGCACTACAGGTCGGAAGATGTACACTCCACGAACGCGATCTATGAAAGTATGGAAGAACGACTGTTTTGAGACCTTTTGCCTAAAATATTGAAACTGAGATACCGCCAGCGTGTATTACAAATTGGGATTTCGTAGGAAAGGATTGACCATATTCCTAATCGAATGAAATTAAAATAGTGCATTTAGATCAAGGTGACAATATTCGTAGCTCCGTAGATCCAAAGCAGGATACCGTACAAGCCTTGGACTTTTAACACGACATGTTACTTTGGGGCGCTTGTCCAAATATGTAACCGTTGAAACGTTAAAGAGAAGTCTTAGCAAAGACACGATAGGAGAGGGAATTAGAAGGAATGACTTACGTAAAGAAGCGACTAAAGATATATAATTTATGTCGTAGAATTACCTTCATGTGCTCATAATTCAAGGTCTGAGTAGTCAATTTTATATGCTTTTTTGAGTTAACGGGTATTATTATACGGTATGTAATGGATATTTGTAAAAGATACAACTGTAAAACTGAACGGGAACAGTGGCATTTCAAGGTAAAATAGCAGACCTATTTAGTCATTAGTCAAATATCTTTACAGCCTCCTTGGGCGAACAAAAGAGATAACATAAAATAGTTTTTATTAAGGAATAATTCTGTCATTAATGATGTTTAACTACTTATTTTGTATAATAAGTTTCCAATAGCACTCTTTAAATCGTTAGTTAATTACAATTTGTGGCTAATTCTTGACTAAAAGTAATCTCAGGCAAACATCTCTAGAAACTGTGTTCTTGACACCAAATGAGTCTTACAGAATTGTATCAACTCAGATTAAAGCTTTATGCAATATTACTAGATAGTTACGAGATACTACATAGTGCTGAACCTATACATGTATAACAGTAATCCAGAAATCAGATAGTGGCCTTTGGCTAATGAGCCGATAGTAGCAAATCGCGACAATATATTCCATTCCTCGACAGTCACTGGTGTCTCACGTTTTCAAAGCATCTCGTGAGCGCCACTTGATGTACTCGTATAACATTAAGATTTCAGCTTGCTACACCGATATATAACCGTTTCAACATGCATGCAGTCAAGTCGTGATACCTTATTCATGTTTATAAACAATTGCATCCAGTCATGTCAAACTTAAGTTAGGCATAAATGGAATTTCAGGAGTGGGATTGTATTTTAGTCCTCCTAATATGTACATTGTATGTTTGTCGAACTATGGAGGCATAGAGGAAGTGAATAGTTAATTGATTTATAAAGTCAAGTTATGTGATTCAGTACAAATGAGTACTCATATATAAGAGTTATCTTGATATTTTCTACGAAATACAATTCAGATCCGTTTTTTTATCCCGAACCTCGTTTCTTTTATGAAAGTTTAAAGAAAATGGGGAAGTTGGAAAAGCTTTTGGATATCTAACATCTGAGAGGCATGCTTCCATAGCTTTCCTAAATCCTAAGGAATCCTTATTAATCCAACTGCCTACTAAGCGTGAGTTGAGAATGAGCTAAAGCTTATCTTATCGTTGGTAGTTTTGGTTGGCTGTGGCAGAAAATTAACCCAAAATGTGCTTTATTTCACGCACCGTATCAAGATTTCATATTTTTTCAATATTTATTAGCTTTTTGGAGTTGTCTGTTTACTGCTTTTAAAATGCAGGTGAACTTGGGGTATTGGAATATAGAGGATACCATAATCTTAAAATATGTACACTCATATAAATGTTCCATCTGAAGGTTTAAGAGAGATGTATAAAAGTGTGTCAATCGACATGCAATTTTCTTGTCACACTGACTTCTTAATCTTACTGGTTCAGAAGCAGGGTAATGTTTTAAGTACTCTGGAAAACTTAGAGTAAGTTGAAGTTTCATAAAAACAAAATGGAGGATTCATTAAAAAATTATACCTTGAAATTTTGATTTTACGGGCTACACCTTAGATGGCTTGATATATTTTGACATGTGAGGTTTCTGTTTATTTTATCTTCGCAGCACACTCAAATCCTAGTCCTTCCAGTTATTGTAGTCAGGGTTTTCGAATTACCAAAAAATGTACTTGTTTAATTCATCTATCAAACCTATTAAGGCTATAATTTCAACGATGACGAATATCTTTAGAACTTTCTGTATTTTTCCTAATTCTGCGTTGAAGTGTCATCAAATGATATTTGAATAGCTATAGTATAGTATCATACGTGCAGGTTTAAATATTAGTGACATGTATCGAACCACAGAACAAACTCATATCACATGATAGGTAATCAAATGTTTTCCCAATATAGTGGCAAAATATTTCGCATTCATGATTTGACCAAACTTTTTATTAAAATTCAGAACATTGTGAGATATTCTTAGTTTAGGCATCGTTATTATCGTTCTCAGGGTGAAATTATAAATAACCGTATTTCCCTGATCTCAGTTTGTCTTATAATTCCCGGTTGCATATAAAACAAATAATAGAGCAAATAGAACAATGTACTGACTACTATGATGTTCCGTGACCACTTCTGATCGAATAGTTTGCGAAACACGATAACGAGTTATTAATTATTGTTCCGTTCAGAACTTGCTATTGAAATTCCTCAAATGTTAAACGACTATTGCGTGATGTAATCAGTGGCAGATGTAGTTATTATTTCACTGGATCTCTTCTTGTTGAGAATCAATCGTGGGGAAACGTGCTGAAACGTTTTTGATTTGATCACTATACAGGTAGAGCTGTCATTCATATCAAATATGGAGGATTCTCAAAGTTTGGTTTGAGGAGTATTCCGAACGACTAGTTTTCTTTAGCAAGGGGGCCATACCGTAGAAGTCAACATACAACAGATCATTGCTCAGCAGTAGTAGTAGTAGTAGTGTCGTAGTGGTGAAGAGGCGAAGCAACTAGGCCCATAGTATCAACACTCTACTTCTCCACAGGAAGCTCATTATTGAATCAACCAGCTCCAGCGATGCGATGTACCTAGGGGGCCGTATCGTCAGTCGTTAATGCAATTGTAGGTCGCCTCTATGACCTCCATGACCCTCTATTCTGAAGTAATGTTACAAATATCTATTTGCAGAAAATTGTTCATGATTTTGGTTTTTCCCATCTGTTTTATCAGCCCGACACTTCCTGGAATTTATTAAGAAGAAAACTTAACTAGGAGAGCGCTGACGCTGACACGGAACAGTAGAAATCTAGAAATGCCCCAGCCTTTCTGAAGGAGAGAAAGAACTATGAAAATCAAAGAGGCCTTAAAGGTATCCTACAATTGTAGGACGCCATTATAGCCTCCTTGATTGTCATAGACTTTTCAGCAAAATTTGGGCCTTTCTAGATTTCACCTGTTCCATGTCAGCGTCAGCGATCTACTATTGTAAAGTTATGTTCTCTTTTTGAATTGGAAACTTCAGGCAAATGCATGAACAATTTGATGCAACTAGATATTTGTGACATAACCTCAAAATAGAGCGCTGACACGGAAAAGTAGAAAACTATGGAAATCAATCAAAATGTTCAAATGCATCATTGCATGTAATAATGCGTTTATGCGTTTATTGCCCAACAGTGATCACCATTTACAGAGCAAAAAGCAGTAGTATAGCTTACATGGTAGTTACAGCACAAAATGTAAAACAGAAAAAAACAGAAACAAAAGATACATGAAAAACCTGACCAATATCCATCATAGATGGGCGCGAGATTTATTCTTTAATTCACAGACACTGCAGTGAAAAATATCACATGCACTTGAAATTTTGTTGGCATTTCGGCACATAAAATTGATTTGAGCCTTTAGTAGTAAGTTAGTTTGAGCTCTTTTGCACAGGAAAGTCCTGT